GATTTTCGTGAATTTATATTTCAGTTCCTTATTTTTCTTTTTTGCCAGTTTTCCTTTGGATGTATATAATTAATTTTTAATTTGACTCGCAAAAATTGGGTAATAAAAATTGTAAATTGTAGCAAAAACAGGGGAGTGGTCAAAAGGGGTCTCCAGACTTCAATCATTAGTTGCTCGAAGGGGGAGCGTTGGCAATTGTTCTCCAGTTTTATTGAGCTGAACTCCCTTTTTAAAGGCAGTTACACGGAAAGAAAATGTTAAGGCCGAAAAGAATATGTGGTCAAGCGTTATATTTAGAAAATCCACATTATAAAAACAAGGTAACTATATAAATATTATTCTGTATTTTAAGTAATTATAACTAAATTCATTCAAAATACAAAAATATTTATATTGATATATTAAACTTCTAAAAAAAAATGTATTAAATTGCTTATTATTTATTATTATTTTTTAGGAGATAATTATATCGAAATTGATCTAAACTGTAAATTTATTTGGTAACAAGTCAATAAATTTGTATCTTATGGACTTATTTTTTTGTGTACAGCATTTCTTAGGCGGTTTCCCTCTACGCTGTTCAATGTTTAATTTTAATTTTTTTGCCTTTCGATTTCTGCTCTCAGTCGCTGCTTTTGCATTATTAAAAATGTAAACAGTGTTTCTTAAGCAAGACTAACAATCTGCCGCCGTTCGCCCTTGGCCCCCTTTAACCCCCCGAAATTTCCTTAACCCCTCCGCGGCCACCAGCTGCCGTTGACCAGCAGGCAAAAAAAAAAGAGAATGAAAAAAAGTTATTATAATTTCCTCTTTTTTTGCCTTTAACCGTTTGCCTATATATATATATGTATATATACCCCCGGTTTTCACTGTTTAAAATTTTTTCTCGTTCTCCCAGTAATCGCCTTCGATATTCCTTGACTTCGACTTTAGGTTTTGGACTTTTGACTTCGTCTTCGACGGAAACGGAAACGTAGCCAAAATGCGACGCCCTGCAGTCGCCCACCCTCCAATCCCCCCCTCCCGCCATAACCCTTGTTGTTATTTTTCTGGTGTAACAATAAAATTTCCCTCCCCCTTTTCCTATAATTTTTTTTTCCTCCTTGTGGGTTGTATCCTTTCCCAAAGAAAGAAGGAAAAAAAGCGGAGAAAAGTAAATGAAAAGGAATCAAAGGCTGCAATATGCCGCCCAGCAATGTTGACGCCGTCTTAACCCTCTACCGCCCCCAAACCCCAGCGACACCGTCTGTTGCTGTAGTTAAAAAAAAAAAAAGAAAAGAAAAGAAAAGAAAGAAAGAAAGCCACAACCGACACCGGCAAGCAATTGTTGTGCTGTGTTTGGGTTATTTCTCCTCTTTTTTTTGGCTTGGTTTTACTTTTTTTCTTCTCTTGTTATTTTCATAAACTTTCAATAATTTTTTACTTTTGCCCATTGGCTGGAGTGCGCTGTAATCGAAAGAGTGGGGCTTATTGAATTGAAAAAGGATATGGGGATAGCCTTCTTAACATTTCCATGTAAGCCTTATGAAAAGTCAAGATTTATACACTGTTTGATTGATTGATAGTTATATTTATATATATAATTGTTTAAATATTATCTGCTAATAATCCTGTAAATATTTTTCTTAAAGAGCATATTTTTGTAGGTCATCCTTCAAGTCGCTTAAACCTAACCTTTCGACTCAACTTCCCGCTGAAGATTTTGTTACCCAAGTTGAAATTTCTTTGCTTTTTTTCCGACTCCTTATTAATTTTGGTGCAATTTTTCGCCCCTTTCGCTGGCGGCCCCCTGGAAATCCTTTCACCACGCCCCCGCCCTAGACTTTCCTTGTTTATCCTTGTTGTTTTCGGTGGGTGGCCGCCGGCTGCTTATCGTAATTCATTTGGCATTCTTGTTACCCATTCCATTCCATTTGCCTAGCGATTCCTGGCAAGGCGGTCCAACATTTATTTCTATATTGAATCCTTTTTTAAAGACTTTCCACAGACTTTTCGCCCACCTCTGAAAAATCACCACCCTCCCCCCAACCATTATTTTTTTGTTGCGTGCGACGGATCGCGTTTTATACCATTTCCATCTATCTTTCGCTTAAATTGTCAGTTAAGCGACTTTCGAAACACAATGCCGCGACAAAAGCAAAACTTTACACGCACGAAGACCGGGGATTGGAATGATACTCGGATACTTGGATACTTGGATACTTGGGCACTCGGCGAACTGGGATTGAATTGGCTGGGATTGGACGGATCGGCTGGGTTCCCATCGTGGCTTATAATTTGCGATGGGAAAGGGAAACCCACGGAGAAGGTGTACCTGTATGTGTGTCTGTATCTGTATCCCATGGATGCGTGTGTTTCCCCCTTTTTTTTCCCACCACTTATGGGGTTCTTGGTTCTATCAATGTGTCTAGTCGATATTTAAATAATGTTTGTTTTTAATAAGCAGTCTGAATACATTTTTTAGAACATTTAGCAAAAACAATAGCAGTTTGTAATTTTCCTGGACAGAATATATAATTATTTTTGCAATTTAAATGCTATGAGATTAATCCAATTAAATGATTGTAAATGAGAGAGAAATGGCATTGCAAAAAAGTGATCTAAAACCCGTACGTTTAAGATCATAACTTTTCTCACAGAAATCAGATTTTGAGGTGGTATACCTCTAAAGACTTGTGATTTAATTCCCTAAAAATCTGCATTCAAAAATTTGTTTTTAATTTTTGGTCGATTTTTTGTCTTTTTTTATGATGTTACCCCTTCGGAAATTTTTGCAGAAAAGTGACCTAAAAACGATTTTGAAGTGGTTTACCTTTAAAAACTTGTAGTTTGATTCCCAAAAAATCTGTATTAAAACTTGCAATTTTTTTTTTTTTCGATTTTTTAAATTTTTAAAAAATGGCTTTGTAGAAAACTGACCTAAAACCTGCACTTTTAAGGTCATAACTTTTTCCACGGTTCCATCCGGTTTCGAAGACCGGTGGTTTATTTCCTTAAAAATTTGGTAGTGCCTGTAAAGAAGGGTATTTTTTATCAATGATAAATCTAACTGAAGAGTGGTAAGCTTATATCCTTGTGTTTCTTCGCTTATTATATTATATATAAATTGTATTTTGTAGTATCTGAACATTTTCCGGGCATAACTTGACATATGTTCCCAACTGCGATAAGCTTTTCGATCCCCACTCCCTTTTCGGTTTGGGTTCACCCCACGGAAGTTGACATTAGCCCCGGCGATGATGCCCAGGGAGAAAAGAAAGAAAAACGAAAGAAAAGTAAAGACAAACACGGAGAGTGGCGAGATGAAAGGTCTACACATGGAAATTAAAAAATAAATAAAACGAAATGAAATGAAATGAAATAGAGTGGGGAGAGATAGGAAAGACATTCACCCAGACACTCAAGACCCAACATCCACCTTTTAATTGTGGTAAAAATGGAGTAATGACGGAGTTCGTCTTTCGGAAGTTGGCATTTTGACTTAGTATTATGTACTATTATTGTTATTATTTTAGTTACCCGGAGCGGCCTTAGACAAACAGAAAGTCCGCATTGCATGCCGCTGACATTTTCAGTGGCTGGCTCTCTGGGTTTTACTTCCCCCCCTCTGAATACATACTTTTTTTATTCGGTGGCTCTTGAGAGGCTGACTTGGTTGGTGGGGTCACCACTCCATCTACGCAACCACATCCGGCCCTCGTCTTCTGGTGGAAGTGAGCTGGCTCTTGGGTCTCCAGCTCGAGTTGTAGTTGGAGTTGGAGTTTTGGCTCCCACACACGTGAGCTTTCTGCTACTGGAAGACGGGGGAAAGTTCACTGGGTCAGCCCGAAATCGGCTAGGAGGTGGGCTAGTTATCACTTGAAGATATTAACCAGAACATTGCTTTCGGTCGGTCATTCACTTGGCACTTTCTAAAAGGAGTCGTCGACTGTGGGAAATGTGTGAACTTCGGTGGGAAATATTACGAAATATTTTGTAGGATAGCTTCTATTCACCAACAAAGGTATATCCTAATTCATCCAGATTAACAGAGAGCTATGATCTAAGAGAAAGTTTTAAATCACACTTTTGCAAGCCATCAAAAGCTTCAAAATATTTATTATTAAACAGAATTCAAACAAATGATCGGTTTCTTGACTTAAATATATCAATGGTATTTGTACGTTTTAATTGACTAAATTGAAATCAAATCTTAGAATTTCCTATCCAACTAATTCTCCAAATGGATAGCGTAAAATTTCGTTTCTTTATTTACCAATATTTTGTATATTTCCTGCATTTCTTGCTGTTGCCAATTTGTTGTTTATTAAAATTCGCATGTCGTCGAATTTGACATACGCCTGTCAGACCCTGGAAATTACATTTATTTTTTTCTCTCTGCGATTCGTATTTTTTTTCAATCCTCGGAAAGAAGGAAACGTGGTTCGGTTTATTTTTTTTTTCTTTATTTTGGTATAAGAATAGATTTTTTTTTGAGGGTCGTCTGGGGCTTTGCAATCGGGAGTTGGAAGTTGCGAGTTGGGGGAGTGCAGGGTACTGGCAAGTCCATCAATCATCAGTCACACAGAGCTGCGCACTCAACGTAACATTCAAATCAATCAAAATGCGACTGCGACTTCTAACTGTTATGTTTATATTTTCCTATTTCATTTCTTCTTTTTTTTTGTGTTTTTGTGGGGTAAATTCGAGCCCTGAGTTGTATGCAAAACGCAAATCTAATTTTTCATCGAATGTGTATATGTGGCAAATAGTTCATGCAAGAAAATTTCCCGTCGCTTCCTTCGTCGCTGATGAAGTTGTTCGAAATAATGAATAATGTGCCCGATTTCGGGACGAAGTGGGGTGGTAATGCTCATATGGCGTGCTCTAAGCCATGCCGCAAATCCATATGGCAGCATGTTCTGAACTCGGAACTCGGAACTCGGAACTCTGAACTCCCAACCTCCCCAACTGCCATTGGGTTTTTGTTGGATTTCTTTCGGCCCAAGTAGACCTTGGATTCTAATTCCTGCTGCCCTAGACAAGTAAGGAACTTTCGGACTTATTCAATCATTGCCTTTCAAATCCAAAACAGTATTTCGGTAACAAAAAACTTGTGAGATTTTGTAGCTACATTTTTGGTAAAAACAAAAGAAGTAACTGAGTCTTATTTTATTTAGAATTGCTAAAATGTTTCCCATGAAGCAAAAGGACTTGATAATGGGAGGAGTGCGATGCTTTCGCCTGGGTTTATATCATAAAAGCTTGAATAAGATGAAGGGATGTGCCAAGACCTCGGCCACAGTTCTCACCAGCAGTTTGTCCAAGGATCAGCAAACGGAGTTACTTCCCGAGGAGCCTCGCAAACCGGAGGAAATAATGCAGCATTTGGGGCCAAAACGCAACGAACTGGAGCAACGAAAGATCCGAAAAGCTCAATACGAATCGCATCTGAAGAACTTACTCCACCAGAGGCCCATGGATTCCGAGATGGCCATTCAGTGCGTTCCCTTTGTCAAGATGTCCGGTGGTTCAGAGGATCCCGTGAAAAGGAGATACGATAGTCCCGAATCTCTCCTCGAACAAGTCAGCGATCCCATGGAGTTAGCCAAGGAGCTGATTAAGTTGGCCAGAGAATTGCACACTGAGCGGCAGAAGAATGAGATTATAATGCAAAATTTCCTTGATCTGGAGGAATCTGTATTTCTAAAGAATTCTGCATCCAGTTCAGCAACCACTTCCCCCAAAAAGCCAAACGAAAATTCCAAGTGAAAACTTCCTGTTTCAATTGACATTAGTATAATTTTTTATGTGAATATTTGGCCAGGCTAAAATCTTATGTAAAAAACATGGTTTATTTAAATACAGTTTTTATTATATTTTCGATAAAAAGTTATTCAAATTTATTTATTATATATTATGCTGTAAAACGCATTTAATAAATTCAAACCATGATTGTTTGATTTTTCTTAATTAACTATAGTATAAATAGTCTGTCTTAAAATTTATAAATTTCATGTATAAATGGTAATCTATTTGCTTTTAGATCATTATGTACTTTGAATTTAGTTTCTTTGTCTAAGTACAAAAAGCAAGTACCTAAACATGCAATAAAGTGGAATTTATTACATGATGTGTGCATTATTCAAAGGTCACGATCAAGAGGATAATCCAATGATTACGGGATTAATGGACTGGCATTTTCACGACCCTCCTGTGAAGCCCGGCTTTTTCCCCATGTGAAGTTCGGCAACGCTGGGAAAATGGCAGAGATGTCACTTGTCTAAAAATAGCGACATGATCGCGTATAAATTATAATTGAAATTATCCATACACTGGCTGGCTGATAAAAAGCGCTGCCTCGAATCAGAATCAGAATCACAATCTGAATCTGGATCCGAGATATATATGATATATGGCGAGTGGAGGAGGAAAGCCGAACGGAATGAGACGCCGCGGTGCTGTTGATGACTTGATTTCAAATTTGAAATGATATTTTAAGAAACTAATGCCTGGTGGTCGGGTGGTGCGGGGTGGGCGGGTGGGGCAGGGTGGTGCGGTGGTGGCCTGTCTTATCCACCCCCAAGCCCCCCAGCCACCCCCCCCCTCACAAGATCTCCACCCTGCGACACTTCGTGGGCATGTTAAATGTCATTTAATAGTTGACAGTTGCACTTGCTGTTGTTGCTGCTGTTGCTTTTGCTGCAATGATTATTGCAGTTTATTTTTTGTATCTAGCAAAAATTTATGTGTAGGTGGTTTTAAATTTATGTGGTCGTCGTTGTCGTTGTCGACGCCAAAACAAGTCGCGAAAAATTCTTTTGAATTTGGTTCGTTTTTCTTTAATAAAAGTAAATTTTATTGCTTACACTAAAAATGCATTGCACACTGCATGTGCAATAGGCTAATGCTCTCGCGGTTTTCAGAGATACAAATACAGAATGCGAAAAAGATACAGATACAAATACGTATGCTGCTGATGCAGATCATTTGCTTATTGAAGACATCCTGTGACTCGCATCCGCTTTTTTTCAGCTTTGGCGCCCCAAAAAATAAAAAAAACAACACAACAAACAATTAAATAAATCTAAAAAACATTTTTATTGTTTGGCGTCATTGGTGTGGAATTTTTGTTCGAATAGCGCATACTTAGCCAAAGGTTTTGGATAGTATCTGTTAAATTAAGAACAAAACTTAGCTTAAGTGTTTTTGCCAATGAAATTTTTTATTTTTAATTTAAGCTTGTGTAATGTTTTTTAAATAGTAATGGTTAATTGATATTGTCAATTTTCCAAGTTAATAGTTTTTCTTTGATATATTACGTTTAGTTGATAAAATTTAAAGTTTTTTAAAAACTTTTTCTCCTTAAATCTTATTTAAGTATTAAAGAGTTTTGTTGGCGCAAATTTAAGCAAATTTATTCTGACTTTTTTGTGTTTATTCTGCCCTCAAAAACTTTCGACCGCCTAGCAATTACTTTGGGCGAACTTTGATCATGGATTTGATTTTCACGCAGCTTGCCGGCGATCTCTTGGCTCTTTGACCCGACCAAAGGTGGAAAGAAAGTTTCTGTTTATTTTGGCAAATCATAAAAAATGGCGATGGTCATGGATCACAGCCCAAAAAACAAGAAAAAGCCAAGAAGACGAAGAAGTCAAAATATATACAGCGTACAGTCGCGGATAAGCCGAAAATCAGTCAGATATTCAGTCGGTTTGCTGGTTTGCCAGTTAGTCAGTTAGTCAGTTTGTCAGTTAGTCAGTCAGTCAGTCAGTCAGTCTATCAGTCGGTCAGCCAAGCGTCTCCGAGTTCAAGTTGTCTTATCGGTGGCTGCTCAAATTCCACCTGCTCTTTTTTCGACTATGCGCCATTTTTGAATTTAGTTTTCTGGACGAATGCCTCTAATATGAGTTAACACAAAAAAAAAAAGAAATACAAAAAATTATAAACCAAAAAAAGAACATAGAAAATGGAAAAGAAATGAAAACATTTTTCAAATTTTATGCTCATTGTTAGTTATGTATTTTTTATTTTGGGGTTTTTGTTTTTGGCTAATTAGCGTAGCCCCTGGGAAATGGATATGGAAATGGAAATGCCTCGGCCTCCGCCCGCAGCTCTCAACAGTCGAGTTCCCCCCGAATGTATTCGTGGTAGTACGGCACACATAATCCCACATTCACATCCATATCCATATCCAGGTTATAGTCGCTTTTTATACCCTTGCAGAGGGTATTATAATTTTGGTCAAAAGTGTGCAACGCAGTGAAGGAGACATCTCCGACCCTATAAAGTATATATATTCTTGATCAGGATCACCTCCTGAGTTGATATAGCCATGTCCGTCTGTCCGTCTGTCCGTCTGTCCGTTCTGTCCGTCTGTCCGTCTGGTCCGTCTGTCTAAGTCCGTCTGTCTGTTTCTACGCGAACTAGTCTTTGAGTTTTAAAGATATCGAATTGAAACTTTGCACAACACCCTTCTTTCCTTAAATGCACGCAGTATATAAGTCGGAACGGCCGGGATCGGCCGACTATATCCTATAGCTGCCATATAACTGAACGATCGGAAATGCCATAACTTTGGTGTTTGTAAAGGTTAGGAAGTTGGGATTTTCTATGGGTTTTGTATTTGGCTAATCAATCCGACATGCCGAATTTCATAAGGATCGGCCGACTATATCCTATAGCTTCCATATAACTGATTGATCGGAAATGCCATAACTTTGGTGTTTGTAAAGTTAGGAAGTCGGCATTTTCTAATGGGTGTTATATTTGGGCCAGCCAATCCGACCTACCAAATTTCATAAGGATCGGCCGATTATATCCTATAGCTGACATATAACTGAACGATTGGAAATGTCATAACTTTGGTGTTTTTAAAGTTAGGAAGTTGGGATTTTTTATGAGTATTAAGAATGCATCATATGAATAATTTTGGAGAATATAATTTACAGAGTATTCTGCAAGGGTATATCAACTTCGGCTCCGCCCGAAGTTAGCTTTCCTTTCTTGTTTTGCATAAATTAAATATTTTTCGGTCGGGCCATTTGCCGGTGGGTGGCTTTCTGGCCCAGTTGACTGGGCATTCGAAGGTGAGCCGAGAGCATTTCGGGAATCTCAAGAGTTTGTAGGGGAATGCCCACGGCAAATAGTGGAGGAAAGTCAAACAAATGGGGTGTGGGTTTTTGAGTGAGAGGTTCGGGGTTCGGGGTTCGAGGGAGTTCTGGTCTTAATTCAGGAGATACGTAATGGTGGGGTAATTATTCTAAAGCCATTGATGGACAGTAAAGGCAAGGAGATAGAGTTTTGGAGCTGAGAAAAACATAAATTATTGAAACGATGATTAAGCATTGTAGGACTAAAATAAGTTCAGTAATTAACTGCGAGCTCAGTTTGAATGTTTCTTTCTGACCGATTTTCGTATTTGTCATAAAGGTTTCACCATTATTCTTTTTTTAAATTGGTGTACAAAAAATGGTTCAGCTGTGAATGTCAATTAATTGGAAATTTTATAACGGATTCAACGAGTAATGACATTCTAACATTTAACCTTAATTTCCCAGTATTTTCCTCAAAAAACTGAAACTGGCGTTTGAATTTTGGACATAAGAAAACTTTTTTAATGGTTTTTCGTTCAAAATACGACGCACAGCCAAGAGAATGACTGTTTTGTGCAGCTGGGGACCTAAACTATCAATTTTAGGTGGATTTGGAAAACATTTTTTTTTGACCGATTTTCGCTTTTTTGATAAGACTTGATTTTTTTGCAAATTTGGGCCAAAATAACATTTTTGACCTGAGTATACCATTCCATTGGAAACTTTGTAACGAATTCAACGATGTATGACATTCCAAGATCTAACCATTATTTCCAAGGGTTTTGATTTAAAAACTGAAAAAAACTAGCTGTTTTTTTTCTAGGTTTTGGTCATCAAAAACATAAATTATATTTAAAACACATTTGTTAGGGGTTTTTTGTTGTAGCTTTGCCAAAATAACACGCACAGCCAAAAGAGAGACTGTTTTGTGTAGCTGACAATCTAAACTATTAATTTCAGAAGGATTTGAAAAAAATTTATTTTTTGGCCGATATTTGCATTTTTTATAAGGGGTTAGTTACATCGTGATTTTTTCCTGGAACTGACCAAAATTGAATGCCACTTGACTGGTAATTTTATAACGATGAATGTAAAATATAAGCCTATTTTTGCGATATGTTGCCGATGTTAGCTTCCGTTCTCGTTGAAACTGATAACATGGATAAATTTAAACACCCTACTAAAAGTTGCGTAGCGAACCCGAGAGATCCGAAAGTTATTAAAGCGTAGACCCCGCTTACGATGCGTATATATGTATATATTGTTTTAGTGGGCTTTTGGCGCTTTATTCACACTATAAAAAATTAGCCTCGCCCCTTCGTCGTTGTTATGGTCGCATTTAGCTTATTACTATTATGATTTTGTATTTTTCACGCCGCCATTGTGGCTGCCCATTTGCCGGGTTCAATGACTAATTTATGAAAGTTGGCCTGACTTGACTTTAATTTTGGTTTTCGGTTTTTTTTTGGGGTAGAGATAGGGAGACGACCGGAAATCAGCCAAGTGTTTCGTTTCGCAGGCAAATATATAACAAGGCGGATTCCAGATCACATAGACTTCCATCGAAGTGTGTTCCTTGTTCTTACTTTATTTTGTTAGTTACTGATACGATACAGATTCCCTAAGAACTTTCACCGACCGCATGCATAATAAAACACCGAGGACCTGAGGATTCCGGGAAGAGGATATTCGTGTTTGCCTGTGAAATTTCGCGTTCACTTGTTGTGGTCGCATTTAGGGGCATTGTGTGCTCAATAGGCGATTACCAGACCTGAGGTTAACCGACCTGCCAAACAG